CAAGAAAAAAAGCGACAAACCGCTCATGGGAGGGCTCGAACCTTCAACCTTTTGCTTAACAGCCGACGCACTAGCAGATTGCGCCACGGAGACAGTCGTGCTCCACCCTCACCACTTTCGGAACACTTCTCCATAGCTGTCAGCGCAAACAAAACAAAGAGACACACGCTCCCGGGAGGGCTCGAACATCCAATCTTTTGGTTAACAGCCGAACGCGCTAGCCAATTGCGTCACGAAGGTAGTCGTGCTCCACTCTCACCACCATCAAAACATTTTTTCAGAGGTATCAGTGCAAAGAAAAAAAGAGACACACCGCTCATGGGAGGGTTCGAACCTCCAACCACTTGGTTAACAGCCAAACGCGCTAGCCAATTGCGCCATGGAGACAGTCGTGCTCCACTCTCACCACGTTCAGAACACTTCTCCAAAAATATCAGTGCAAAGAAAAAAAGTGACACACCGCTCATGGGAGGGCTTGAACCTGCAGTCTTTTGGTTAACAGCCGATCGCGCTGGCCATTGCACCACGGACCCAACCGCCTTCCACTCTCACCACCGACAGAACGTTTCTCCAAAGCTATCAGCTCAAAGAAAAAAAAGAGACACACCGATCTTGGGAGGGCTCGAACCTCCAACCTTTCGGTTAAATGTTGATCGCGCTAGCCGATTCTGCCACGGAAACAGTCGTGCTCCACTCTCACCACCGTCAGAACATTTTCCAAAGGTATCAGCGCAAAGAAAAAAAGAGACACACCGCTCATGGGAGGGTTTGAACCTCCAACCTTTTGGTTACAGCGCAACACGCTTGCCAATTGTGCCACGGAGACAGTTGTGCTCCACTCTCACCATGGTCAGAACACTTCTCCAAAGATACCAGCACAAAGAAAAAAAAGAGACACACCACTCTCGGGAGGGCTCGAACCTCCAACCTTTTAGTTACCAGCCGAACGCGCTAGCCAATAGCGTCACGGAGGTACTCGTCCTCCACTCTCACCACCATAAGAACATTTTTGCAAAGGTATCAGCCCAAAGAAAAAAAGAGACACACCACTCATGGGAGGGATCGAACCTCCAACCTTTTGGTTAACAGCCAAACGCGCTAGCCAATTGCGCTACGGTGACAGTCGCGCTCCGCTCTCACCACGGTCAGAACACTTCTCCAAATATATCAGTGCAAAAAAAATCGACACACCGCTCATGGGAGGGTTCGAACCTCCAACCTTTCGCTTAACGGCCAATCGCGCTAGCCCATTGAGCCAAGAAGATAGTCGTGCTCTACTCTCACCACAGTCAGAACATTTCTCCAAAGCTATCAGCGCAAAGAAAAAAAAGAGACTCACCGCTCTCGGGAGGGCTTGAACCTCCAACCTTTTGGTTAACAGTTGATCGCGCCAGCCGATTCTGCCACGGAAACAGTCATGCTCCACTATCACCACGATCAGAACACTTCTCCAAAGATATTAGTGCAAAGAAAAAAAAGCGACACACCACTCATGCGAGAGCTCGAACCTCCAAGCTTTTGGTTAACAGCCGATCGCGCTAGCCATTGCACCACGGACCCAACCGCGCTCCACTCTCACCACGGTCAGAACGTTTCTCCAAAGCGATCAGTGCAAAGAAAAAAAAAAAGAGACACATGCTTCGGGAGGGGCGAACTACAACCTTTTGGTTAACAGGCGAAAGCGCTAGCATTACCTCAAGAAGGTAGTCGTGCTTCACTCTCCCACTTCAGAAACATTTTTCCAAAGGTATCAGCGCAAAGAAAAAAAGAGACACACCGCTCATAGATGTTCGAACCCAACCTTTTGGTTAAGCCAGCAACGCGCTGGCCAATTGCGCCACGGAGACAGCGTGCTCCACTCACCACAGTCTGAACAATTCTCCAAAAATTTCAGCGCAAAGAAAAAAAAGAGACACACCGCTCTCAGGAGGACTCGAACTTCCAACCTTTTGGTTAACAACCGAACGCGCTAGCCAATTGCGTCACGGAGGTAGTCGTGCTCCACTCTGACCAAGATCAGAACATTTTTCTAAAGGTATCAGCGCAAAGAAAAAAAAAGAGACACACCGCTCTCGGGAGGGCTCGAACCTCCAACCGTTTGCTTAACAGTTGATCGCGCTAGCCGATTCTGCCACGGAAACATTCGTGCTCCACTCTCACCACCATCAGAACATTTCTCCAAAGCTATCAGCGCAAAGAAAAAAAAAGAGACACACTGCTCTCGGGAGGGCTCGAACCTACAACCTTTTGGTTAACAGGCGAAAGCGCTAGCCTATTACCTCAAGAAGGTAGTCGTGCTTCACTCTCACCACCATCAGAACATTTTTCCAAAGGTATCAGCGCAAAGAAAAAAAGAGACACACCACTCATGGGAGAAATCGAACCTTCAACCTTTCAGTTAACAGCCAAACGCGCTAGCCAATTGCGCCACCGAGACAGGCGTGCTCCACTCTCACCATGGTCAGAACACTTCTCCAAAGATATCAGTGCAAAGAAAAAAAGCGACACACCGCTCATGGGAGGGCTCGAACCTCCAACCTTTAGGTTAACAGCCGATCGCGCCAGCCCATTGCGCCAAGCAGATAGTTGTGCTCCACTCTCACCACCTTCAGAACATTTTCAAGGTATCTGCGCAAAGAAAAAAAGAGACACACCGCTCTCGGGAGGACTCGAACCTTAAACCTTTTGGTCAACAGCCGAACGCGCTAGCCAATTGCGTCCCGGAAGTAGTCGTGCTCCACTCTCACCACCATCAGAACATTTTTCCAAAGGTATCAGCACAAAGAAAAAGAAAGAGACACACCGCTCTTGGGAGGGCTCGAACCTCCAACCCTTTGGTTAACAGTTGATCGCGCTAGCCGATTCTGCCACGGAAACAGTCGTGCTCCACTCTCACTACCGTCAGAACATTTCTCCAAAGCTATCAGCGCAAAGAAAAAAAGAGACACACCGCTCTCTGGAAGGCTTGAACCTCAAACCTTTTGCTTAACAGCCGACGCAATAGCAAATTGCGCCACGGAGACAGTAATGCTCCACTCTCACCACCCTCAGAACATTTTTGCAAAGGTATCTGCGCAAAGAAAAAAAGAGACACACCGCTCATGGGAGGGATCGAACCTCCAACCTTTTGGTTAACAGCCAAACGCTCTAGCCAATTGCGCTACGGAGACAGTCGTGCTCCACTCTCACCACGGTCAGAACACTTCTCCAAAGATATCAGTGCAAAGAAAAAAAGCGACACACCGCTCATGGGAGGGCTCGAACCTCCAACCTTTCGGTTAACAGCCAATCCCGCTAGCCCATTGCGCCAAGGAGATAGTTGTGCTCCACTCTCACCACCTTCAGAACATTTTTCCAAAAGTATCAGCGCAAAAAAGAAAAAAGACACACAGCTCATGGGAGGTTTCGAACCTCCAACCTTTTGGTTAACAGCCCAACGCGCTAGCCAATTGCGCCACGGAGATAGTCGTGCTCCACTCTCACCACGGTCAGAACACTTCTTCAAAGATATCAGTGCCAAGAAAAAAAACAAATACTGCTCATGGAAGGGCTCGAACCTCCAATCTTTTGGTTAACAGCCCATTGCGCTAGCCAATCGCTCAAAGGAGATAGTCGTGCTCTACTCTCACCACAGTCAGAACATTTCTCCAAAGCTATCAGCGCAAAGAAAAAAGAGACACACCGCTCTCGGGAGGACTCGAACCTCCAACCTTTTGGTTAACAGTTGATCGCACTAGCCGCTTCTGCCACGGAAACAGTCGTGCTTTACTCTCATCACCGTCAGAAAATTTTTCCAAAGGTATCAGCGCAAAGAAAAAAAAAGACTCACCGCTCTCGGGAGGACTCGAACCTCCAACCTTTTGGTTAACAGCCGAACGCGCTAGCCAATTGCGTCAAGGAGGTAGTCGTGCTCCACTCTCACCACCATCGAACATTTTCCAAAGGTATCAGCGCAAAGAAAAACAAAGAGACACACCGCTCTTGGGAGGGCTCGAACCTCCAACCTTTTGGTTAACAGTTGATCGCGCCAACCGATTCTGCCACGGAAACACTCGTGCTCCACTCTCACCACCTTCAGAAAATTTCTCCAAAGCTATCAGCGCAAAGAAAAAAAAGAGACACACCGCTCTCTGGAGGGATCGAACCTCCAACCTTTTGCTTAACAGCCGACGCACTAGCAAATTGCGCCACGGAGACAGCAGTGCTCCACTCTCACCACCATCAGAACATTTCTCCAAAGCTATCAGCGCAAAGAAAAAAAAGAGACACACCACTCTCGGAAGCTTTGGAACCTCCAACTTTTTGGTTAACCACCCAACGCGCTAACCAATTGCGCCACGGAGACAGTCGTGCTCCACTCTCATCACGGTCAGAACACTTCTCCAAAGATATCAGTGCAAAGAAAAAAGCGACACACCGTTCATGGGAGGGCTCGAACCTCCAACCTTTTGGTTAACAGTTGATCGCGCTAGCCGATTCTGCCACGGAAACAGTCGTGCTCCACTCTCACCACCGTCAGAACATTTTTCTAAAGGTATCAGCGCAAAGAAAAAAAAGAGACTCACCACTCTCGGGAGGGCTCGAACCTCCAACATTTTGGTTAACAGTTGATCGCGCCAGCCGATTCTGCCACGGAAACAGTCGTGCTCCACTCTCACCACCTTCACAAAATTTCTCCAAAGCTATCAGCGCAAAGAAAAAAAGAGACACACCACTCTCTGGAGGGCTCGAACCTCCAACCTTTTGCTTAACAGCCAACGCACTAGCAGATTGCGCCACGGAGACAGTAGTGCTCCACTCTCACCACCGTCAGAACATTTCTCGAAAGCTATCAGCGCAAAGAAAAAAAAGAGACACACTGCTCTCGGGAGGGCTCGAGCATGCAATCTTTTGGTAAACAGCCGAACGCGCTAGCCAATTGCGTCACGGAGGAAGTCGTGCTCCACTCTCACCACCGTCAGAACATTTCTCCAAAGCTATCAGCGCAAACAAAGAGACACACCGCTCTCGGGAGGGCTCGAACCTCCAACCTTTTGGTTATCAGCCGAACGCGCTAGCCAATTGCGCCACGGAGACAGTCGAGCTCCACACTCCCCGCGGTCAGAACACTTCGCCAAAGATATCAGTGCAAAGAAAAAAAAGCGACACACCGCTCATGGAAGGGCTCGAACCTCCAACCTTCTGGTTAACAGCCGACCGCGCTAGCCATTGCACCACGGACCAAACCGCGCTCCAATCTCACCACCGTCAGAACGTTTCTCCAAAGCTATCAGCGCAAAGAAAAAAAAGAGACACACTGCTCTCGGGAGGGCTCGAACCTACAACCTTTTGGTTAACAGCCGAAAGCACTAGCCTATTACCTCACGAAGGTAGGCGTGCTTCACTGTCACCACCTTCAGAACAATTTTCCAAAAGTATCAGCGCAAAGAAAAAAGACACGCCGCTCATGGGAGGTTTTGAACCTCCAACCTTTTGGTTAACAGCCCAACGTGCTGGCCAATTGCGCCAAGGAGATAGTCATGCTCTACTCTCACCACAGTCAGAACAATTCTCCAAAGCTATCAGCGCAAAGAAAAAAAAGAGACACACCGCTTTCGGGAGGACTCGAACCTCCAACCTTTTGGTTAACAGCCGAACGCGTTAGCCAATTACGTCACAGAGGTAGTCGTGCTCCACTCTCACCATCATCAGAACATTTTTCCAAAGGTATCAGCGCAAGAAAAAAAGAGACACACCGCTCTCGGGAGGGCTCGAACATCCAATGTTTTGGTTAACAGCCGAACGCGCTAGTCAATTGTGTCACGGAAGTAGTCGTGCTCCACTCTCACCACCAACAAAACATTTTTCCAAAGATATCAGCACAAAGAAAAAAAGAGACACACCGCTCATGGGAGGTTTCGAACCTCCAACCTTTTGGTTAACAGCCCAACGCGCTAGCCCATTGCGCCACGGAGACAGTCGTGCTCCGCTCTCACCACGGTCAGAACACTTCTCCAAAGATATCAGTGCAAAGAAAAAAAACGACACACCGCTCTCGGGAGGGCTTGAACCTCCAACCTTTCGGTTAAAAGCCGAACACGCTAGCCATTGCACCACGGACCCACCCGCGCTCCACTCTCACCACCGTCAGAACGTTTCTCCAAAGCTACCAGCACAAAGAAAAAAAGCGACACACTGCTCCCGGGAGAGCTCGAACCTCCAAGGTTTTGGTTAACAGCCGACGCACTAGTAGACTGCGCCGCGGAGACAGTCGTGCTCTGCTCTCAGCACCATCAAAACATTTTTGAAAGGTATCAGCGCAAAGAAAAAAAGAGACACCCCGCTCATGGGAGGGTTCGTACCTCCAACTTTTTGGTTAACAGCCCAAGGCTCTAGCCAATTGCGCCACGGAGACAGTCGTGCTCCACTCTCACCACGGTCAGAACACTTCTCCAAAGGTATCAGCGCAAAGAAAAAAAGAGACACACCGCTCATGGGAGGGTTCGAACCTCCAACCTTTTGGTTAACAGCCTAACGCGCTAGCCAATTGCGCTACGAAGACAGTCGTGCTCCACTCTCACCACGGTCAGAACACTTCTCCAAAGATATCAGTGCAAAGAAAAAAAAGCGACACACCGCTCTTGGGAAGGGCTCGAACCTCCAACCTTTTGCTTAACAGCCGATCGCGCTAGCCATTGCACCACGGACCCAATCGTGCTCCACTCTCACTATCGTCAGAACATTTTTCCAAAGGTATCAGCGCAAAGAAAAAAAGAGACACACCGCTCCCGGGAGGGCTTAAACCTCAAACCTTCAGTTAACAGTTGATCGCTCTAGCCGATTCTGCTACGGAAACAGTGGAGCTCCACTCTCACCACCGTGAGAACATTTCTCCAAAGCTATCAGCGCAAAGAAAAAAAGAGACACACCGCTCTCGGGAGGGCTCGAACCTCCAACCTTTTGGTTAACAGCCGAATGCGCTAGCCAATTGCGTCACGGAGGTAGTCCTGCTCCACTCTCACCACCACCAGAGCATTTTTCCAAAGGTATCAGCGCAAGGAAAAAAAGAGACAGACCGCTCATGGGAGGGTTCGAACCTCAAACCTTTTGGTTAACAACCCAATGCGCTAGCCAATTGCGCCACGGAGACAGTCGTGCTCCACTCTCACCACGGTCAGAACACTTCTCAGATATCAGTGCAAAGAAAAAAAGAGACACACCGCTCATGGGAGGGTTCGAACCTCCAACCTTTTGGTTAACAGCGCAACGCGCTGCCATTGCGCCACGGAGACAGTCGTGCTCCACTCTCACCACGGTCAGAACACTTCTCCAAAGATATCAGTGCAAAGCAAAAAAAGCGACACACCACTCATGGGAGGGCTCGAACCTCGAACCTTTTGGTTAACAGCCGATCGCGCTAGCCATTGCACCACAGACCCAACCGCGCTCCACTCTCACCACCATCAGAACATTTTTCCAGAGGTATCAGTGCAAAGAAAAAAAACAGACACACCGCTCATGGGAGGGTTCGAACTCCAACCTTTTGGTTAACAACCCACGCACTAGCCATTGCGCCACTGAGACAGTCGTGCTCCACTCTCACCACCAACAAAACATTTTTCCAAAGATATCAGCACAAAGAAAAAAAAGAGACACACCCGCTCATGGAGGGTTCGAACCTCCAACCTTTTGGTTAACAGCCCAACGCGCTAGCCCATTGCGCCACGGAGACAGTCGTGCTCCGCTCTCACCACGGTCAGAACATTTCTTCAAAGCTATCAGCGCAAACAAAGAGACACACCGCTCTCGGGAGGACTCGAACCTCCAACCTTTTGGTTAACAGCCGAACGCGCTAGCCAATTGCGCCACGGAGACAGTCGAGCTCCACTCTCACCGCGGTCAGAACACTTCTCCAAAGATATCAGTGCAAAGAAAAAAAGCGACACACCGCTCATGGAAGGGCTCGAACCTCCAACCTTTTGGTTAACAGCCGATCGCGCTAGCCATTGCACCACGGACCAAACCGCGCTCCACTCTCACCACCGTCAGAACGTTTCTCCAAAGCTATCAGCGCAAAGAAAAAAAAGAGACACACTGCTCTCGGGAGGGCTCGAACCTACAACCTTTTGGTTAACAGTCGAAAGCACTAGCCTATTACCTCACGAAGGTAGGCGTGCTTCACTGTCACCACCTTCAGAACCATTTTCCAAAAGTATCAGCGCAAAGAAAAAAGACACGCCGCTCATGGGAGGTTTTGAACCTCCAACCTTTTGGTTAACAGCCCAACGTGCTGGCCAATTGCGCCACGGAGACAGTCGTGCTCCACTCTCACCACAGTCAGAACACTTCTCCAAAGATATCAGTGCCAAAAAAAAGCGACACACTGCTCATGGGAGGGCTCGAACCTCCAACCTTTTGGTTAACAGCCGATCGCGCTAGCCAATTGCGTCTAGGAGATAGTCATGCTCTACTCTCACCACAGTCAGAACAATTCTCCAAAGCTATCAGCGCAAAAAAAAAGAGACACACCGCTTTCGGGAGGACTCGAACCTCCAACCTTTTGGTTAACAGCCGAACGCGTTAGCCAATTACGTCACAGAGGTAGTCGTGCTCCACTCTCACCATCATCAGAACATTTTTCCAAAGGTATCAGCGCAAGAAAAAAAGAGACACACCGCTCTCGGGAGGGCTCGAACATCCAATCTTTTGGTTAACAGCCGAACGCGCTAGCCAATTGCGTCACGAAGGTAGTCGTGCTCCACTCTCACCACCATCAGAACATTTTTTCAAAGTTATCAGCGCAAAGAAAAAAAGAGACACACCGCTCATGGGAGGGTTCGTACCTCCAACCTTTTGGTTAAATGCCCAACGCGCTAGCCAATTGCGCCACAGAGACAGTCGTGCTCCACTCTCACCACGTTCATAACACTTCTCCAAAGATATCAGTGCAAAGAAAAAAAAGCGACCCACCGCTCATGGGAGGGCTTGAACCTCCAGCCTTTTGGTTAACAGCTGATCGCGCTAGCCATTGCACCACGGACCCAACCGCCTTCCACTCTCACCACCGCCAGAACTTTTCTCCAAAGCTATCAGCTCAAAGAAAAAAAAGAGACACACCGCTCTCGAGAGGGCTCGAACCTCCAACCTTTCGGTTAACAGCCGAACGCGCTAGTCAATTGTGTCACGGAAGTAGTCGTGCTTCACTCTCACCACCAACAAAACATTTTTCCAAAGATATCAGCACAAAGAAAAAAAAGAGACACACCGCTCATGGGAGATTTCGAACCTCCAACCTTTTGGTTAACAGCCCAACGCGCTAGCCCATTGCGCCACGGAGACAGTCGTGCTCCGCTCTCACCACGGTCAGAACACTTCTCCAAAGACATCAGTGCAAAGAAAAAAAAACGACACACCGCTCTCGGGAGGGCTAGAACCTCCAACCTTTCGGTTAAAAGCCGAACACGCTAGCCATTGCACCACGGACCCACCCACGCTCCACTCTCAACACCGTCAGAACGTTTCTCCAAAGCTACCAGCGCAAAGAAAAAAAGCGACACACTGCTCCCGGGAGAGCTCGAACCTCCAAGGTTTTGGTTAAGAGCCGACGCACTAGCAGATTGCGCCACGGAGACAGTCGTGCTCTACTCTCAGCACCATCAAAACATTTTTGAAAGGTATCAGCGCAAAGAAAAAAAGAGACACACCGCTCATGGGAGCGTTCGTACCTCCAACTTTTTGGTTAACAGCCCAGGGCTCTAGCCAATCGCGCCACGGAGACAGTCGTGCTCCACTCTCACCACGGTCAGAACACTTCTCCAAAGGTATCAGCGCAAAGAAAAAGAGAGACACACCGCTCATGGGAGGGTTCGAACCTCCAACCTTTTGGTTAACAGCCAAACGCGCTAGCCAATTGCGCTACGAAGACAGTCGTGCTCCACTCTCACCACGGTCAGAACACTTCTCCAAAGATATCAGTGCAAAGAAAAAAAGCGACACACCGCTCTTGGGAGGGCTCGAACCTCCAACCTTTTGCTTAACAGCCGATTGCGCTAGCCATTGCACCACGGACCCAATCGTGCTCCACTCTCACTATCTTCAGATCATTTTTCCAAAGGTATCAGCGCAAAGAAAAAAAAAGAGACACACCGCTCCCTGGAGGGCTTAAACCTCAAACCTTGCAGTTAACAGTTGACCGCTCTAGCCGATTCTGCCACGGAAACAGTGGAGCTCCACTCTCACCACCGTGAGAACATTTCTCCAAAGCTATCAGCGCAAAGAAAAAAAGAGACACACCGCTCTCGGGAGCGCTCGAACCTCCAGACCTTTGTTAACAGCCGAATGCGCTAGCCATTGCGTCACGGAGGTAGTCCGCTCCACTCTCACCACCATCAGAGCATTTTTCCAAAGGTATCAGCGCAAGGAAAAAAAGAGACACACCGCTCATGGGAGGGTTTCGAACCTCAAAAACTTTGGTTAACAACCCAAACGCGCTAGCCAATTGCGCCACGGAGACAGTCCGTGCTCCACTCTCACCACGGTCAGAACACTTCTCCAAAAGATATCAGTGCAAAGAAAAAAAGAGACACACCGCTCATGGGAGGGTTCGAACCTCCAACCTTTTGGTTAACAGCGCAACGCGCTTGCCAATTTCGCCACGGAGACAGTCGTGCTCCACTCTCACCATGGTCAGAACACTTCTCCAAAGATATCAGTGCAGAGCAAAAAAGCGGCACACCGCTCATGGGAGGGCTCGAACCTCGAACCTTTTGGTTAACAGCCGAACGCGCTAGCCAATTGCGCCACGGAGACAGTCGTTCTCCACTCTTACCACGGTCAGAACACTTCTCTAAAGATATCAGTGCAAAGAAAAAAAGCGACACACTGCTCATGGGAGGGCTCGAACCTCCAACCTTTTGGTTAACAGCCGATCGCGCTAGCCATTGCACCGCGGACCCACCCGCGCTCCACTCTCACCACCATCAGAACATTTTTCCAGAGGTATCAGTGCAAAGAAAAAAGAGACACACCGCTCATGGGAGGGTTCGAACCTCCAACCTTTTGGTTAACAACCCAACGCGCTAGCCATTGCGCCACTGAGACAGTCGTGCTCCACTCTCACCACCAACAAAACATTTTTCCAAAGATATCAGCACAAAAAAAAGAGACACACCGCTCATGGGAGGGTTCGAACCTCCAACCTTTTGCTTAACAGCCAACGCGCTAGCCCATTGCGCCACGGAGACAGTCGTTCTCCACTCTTACCACGGTCAGAACACTTCTCCAAAGGTATCAGGGCAAAAAAAAAAAAGAGACAAACCGCTCTCGGGAGGGCTCGAACCTCCAACCTTTTGTTTAAAGTTGATCGCGCTAGCCGATTCTGCCAAGGAAACAGTCCTGCTCCACTCTCACTACCGTCAGAACATTTCTCCAAAGCTATCAGCGCAAAGAAAAAAAAGAGACACACCGCTCTCGGAAGGGCTCGAACCTCCAACCTTTTGGTTAACAGCCGAACGCGCTAGCCAATTGCGTCACGGAGGTAGTCGTGTACCACTCTCACCACCATCAGAACATTCTTCCAAAGGTATCAGCGCAAAGAAAAAAAAGAGACACACCGCTCTCGGAAGGGTTCGAACCTCCAACCTTTTGGTTAACAGCCCAACGCGCTAGCCAATTGCGCCACGGAGACAGTCGTTCTCCACTCTTACCACGGTCAGAACACTTCTCTAAAGATATCAGTGCAAAGAAAAAAAACGACACACCGCTCTCGGGAGGGCTTGAACCTCCAACCTTTCGGTTAAAAGCCGAACGCGCTAGCCATTGCACCGCGGACCCACCCGCGCTCCACTCTCACCACTGTCAGAACGTTTCTCCAAAGCTACCAGCGCAAAGAAAAAAAAGAGACACACCGCTCGTGGGAGGGTTCGAACCTCAAACCTTTTGGTTAACAGCCGACGCACTAGCTGATTGCGCCACGGAGACAGTCGTGCTCTACTCTCAGCACCGTCAGAACCTTTCTCCAAAGCTATCAGCGCAAAGAAAAAAAGAGACACACCGCTCTCGGGAGGGCTCGAACCTCCAACCTTTTGGTTAACAGCCGAATGCGCTAGCCATTGCGTCACGGAGGTAGTCGTGCTCCACTCTCACCACCATCAGAGCATTTTTCCAAAGGTATCAGCGCAAAGAAAAAAAAGAGACACACCGCTCGTGGGAGGGTTCGAACCTCAAACCTTTTGGTTAACAACCCAACGCGCTAGCCAATTGCGCCACGGAGACAGTCGTGCTCCACTCTCACCACGGTCAGAACACTTCTCCAAAGATATCAGTGCAAAGAAAAAAAGCGACACACCGCTCATGGGAGGGCTCGAACCTCCAACCTTTTGGTTAACAGCCGATCGCGCTAGCCATTGCACCACGGACCCAACCACGCTCCACTCTCACCACCGTCAGAACGTTTCTCCAAAGCTATCAGCGCAAAGAAAAAAAGAGACACACTGCTCTCGGGAGGGCTCGAACCTCCAACCTTTTGCTTAACAGCCGACGCACTAGCAGATTGCGCCACGGAGATAGTCGTGCTCCACTCTCACCACCGTCAGAACACTTTTTCAAAGGTATCAGCGCAAAGAAAAAAAGAGACACACCGCTCATGGGAGGGCTCGAACCTCAACCTTTTGGTTAACAGCCGACGCACTAGCAGATTGCGCCACGGAGACAGTCGTGCTCCACTCTCACCACCGTCAGAACATTTCTCAAAGCTATCAGCGCAAAGAAAAAAAGCGACACACCGATCTCGGGAGGGCTCGAACCTCCAAACTTTTGTTAACAGTTGATCGCGCTAGCCGATTCTGCCACGGAAACAGTCGTGCTCTACTCTGCACCACCGTCAGAACATTTCTCCAAAGCTATCAGCGCAAAGAAAAAAAAAAGAGACACACCGCTCTCGGGAGGGCTCGAACCTCCAACCTTTCGGTTAACAGCCGAACGCGCTAGCCAATTGCGTCACGGAGGTAGTCGTGCTCCACTCTCACCACCATCAGAACATTTCTCCAAAGCTATCAGCGCAAAGAAAAAAAAGCGACACACCGATCTCGGGAGGGCTCGAACCTCCAAACTTTTGGTTAACAGTTGATCGCGCTAGCCGATTCTGCCACTGAAACAGTCGTGCTCTACTCTCCACCACCGTCAGAACATTTCTCCAAAGCTATCAGCGCAATGAAAAAAGAAGAGACACACCGCTCATGAGAGGGTTCGAACCTCCAACCTTTTGGTTAAACAGTTGACGCACTAGCCGATTCTGCCACGGAAGACAGTCCGTGCTCCTACTCTCGCCACCGTCAGAACATTCTCCAAAGCTATCAGCGCAAAGAAAAAAAGAGACACACGCTCTCGAGAGGGCTCAAACCTCGAACCTTTTGCTTAACAGCCGAACGCGCTAGCCAATTGCGTCCCGGAGGTAGTCGTGCTCCACTCTCAACACCATCAGAACATTTTTCCAAAGTATAAGCGCAAAGAAAAAAAGAGACACACCGCTCATGGGAGGGTTCGAACCTCCAACCTTTTGGTTAACAGCGCAACGCGCTTGCCAATTGCGCCACGGAGACAGTCGTGCTCCACTCTCACCACGGTCAGAACATTTCTCCAAAGCTATCAGCGCAAAGAAAAAAAAGAGACACACTGCTCTCGGGAGGGCTCGAACCTCCAACCTTTCAGTTAACAGCCGAACGCGCTAGCCAATTGCGTCACGGAAGTAGTCGTGCTCCACTCTCACCACCGTCAGAACATTTCTCCAAAGCTATCATCGCAAAGAAAAAAAAGAGACACACCGCTCATGGGAGGGTTCGAACCTCCAAACTTTTGGTTAACAGCCGAACGAGCCAATTGCGCCACGTGGAGACAGTCGGCTCCACTCTCACACGGTCAGAACACTTCTCCAAAGATATCAGTGCAAAGAAAAAAGCGACACACCGCTCATGGACGGGCTCAAACCTCCAACCTTTTGGTTAACAGCCGATCGCGCTAGCCATTGCACTACGGACCGAACCGCGCTCCACTCTCACCACCGTCAGAACGTTTCTCCAAAGCTTCAGCGCAAAGAAAAAAAGCGATACACTGCTTCCGGGAGGGCTCGAACCTCCAACCTTTTGCTTAACAGCCGACGCACTAGCAGATTGCGCCACGGAGACAGTCGTGCTCCACTCTCACCACCGTCAGAACGTTTCTCCAAAGCTATCAGCGCAAAGAAAAAAAAGAGACACACCGCTCTCGGGAGGGCTCGAACCTCCAACCTTTTGGTTAACAGCCGAACGCGCTAGCCAATTGCGTCACGGAGGTAGTCGTGCTACACTCTCACCCCCATCAAAACATTTTTCCAAAGGTATCAGCGCAAAGAAAAAAAGAAACACACCACTCATGGGCAGGGTTCGGACTCCCAAACTTTGGGTTAACCGCCCAACGCGCTAGCCAATTGCACCACGGAGACAGTCGTGCTCCACTCTCACCACGGTCAGAAAACTTTCCCAAAATATTAGTGCAAAGAAAAAAAGCGACACACCGCTCTTGGGAGGGCTCGAACCCTCCAACCCTTTGGTAAGAGCCGATCGCGCTAGCCATGCCCACGGACCCAACCGCGCTCCACTCTCACCACCGTCCAAAACGTTTCTCCAAAGCTACCAGCGCAAGAAAAAAAGCGACCGCACTGCTCCCGGGAGGGCTCGAACTCCCAACTTTTGTTCAACCGCCGAAGCACTAGCAGATTGCGCCACGGAGACAGTCTTGCTCCACTCTCACCACCCGTCAGAACACTTCTCAAAGCTATCAACGCAAAGAAAAAAAAGAGACACACTGCTCTCGGGAGAGCTCGAACCTCCAAGCTTTCGGTTACAGCCGAACGCGGTAGCCAATTGCGTCACGGAGGTAGTTCGTCCTCCA